ATGCCTTAAATCTTTTCTTCCAACCAAAACATTGTTTCTCAAAGCTCAAAACACATTGGTGGCCTTAAGTAATTATTTAATAAATCAGTGTGAGTCAGCATTGGGATTGAAGCTCCCATAAATCCATGGAACATATTCTCAGGGGCAAGGAATCAGTCTGGTTAGGCTGGTAAGAATGGGCTGTTCTTTCAGGCAGGCGCTTTTGGACCATACAGAGATGAGAGGGGAAGCATCAGAAGCATGAATGTAAAATTTGCTTATACAAATGAGCTGGACTTGATAAGTACCAAGGTCCCTATTCTAGAATCCGAGTTAATGGAGACTAACATTTGGGCAACTTTTCTCCCAGCAGTTTCCTTAAAAAGCTTATAAAATAAATGAAGAATAATCACAGATTATGATGTTCCTGTCTTCTCTTTATATATTCCTCTTACACCTTTCACAGCTGATCAGAATTTTCTTCCGCACTGTCACCTCTCTATTTTTCTGGTTCACAGATAATGTGTGTCTCCTTCTTTCCTTTTTGTAATATACTGCCATTTCCAAAAGGGCCATGCTCTCAAATACATGAAAACTTCCTTTAATTAAAGGGAGAATTGTATCATCTGTGCCCGTTGCCCATATTTGATTGTGTTGCTATGTATGGGACCTAGGTTTCATCCAAGGGAAATAGTTATATGAAATCTAAAAATAATTTGTGCAAGATGAGAACCCATATGGTCCACAGGAGACCTGAGAATGGTCAAGTTCATTGTTTAAGAGCTCTGGTTGGCAAATATGTATTTCCCTTAAGAAAAGTGCTAGGGAAATTCTTCTTGAATCTGCTGTGTTTTCTGTTTTCAACAAGTAACTACATTTGATCAAAGAAATTGGCATCTGTACCTAGCCTCCCGTCTATAGCCATCAATATCACACCTTGATTCTTTTATTTTGAAGAGAAGTAGACTGTAATCATGGTGCTTGTTGTAGGTTGAAATTCATATCACTTTCTCTGTAAGTATTCCCAACATAGATATTTTATCTTTTCCAATTATATTTAAAATGATGCTTGGGATAAAACCAAAATGGAAACCTCTTTGCTAATCCACACTTGTGGGGAATCAGAATAATTCAGTTCATTTATTTTAGTTTTATGTGAAGCCCTTTTGAAACAACGTAAAGTTTAACTTACTTGAGAAGTATTTTGATCTGTTTATATTTCCTTAATACCAATTTATTTGGTTCAAGTAAAGAGAGAGGACATGCCTAATCATTTTTAACTCAGAGTAAACTACAAGTAAAAATTACTTCTTTGTTAGTAGTTTGGCTCTCCTTTGGTAGCATAAAGAGAAATTTAAACTATCTTAAATATACCCTAATTTAAGAGAAAATGTGGAATTCTGATTTGCCAGTGACAGCTGTTTTCTGGTTAAAGCTGTACTTGCTCAATAGAGTGTTTTAATCTCTCAGTTTAGGATTTGGAAATAAAATTAATGTACTTTCTGAAATACCATATAGAAGAAACAATTTTCTATGGAGCAGTATTTTTATGTTAAATAATGTTGTCTGTTTCTTTTTGCTAGGTTGATGGGAATATGAGCAAAATTTATTGCCAAAACCTTTGCTTGTTAGCCAAGCTCTTCCTGGACCACAAAACGTTGTATTATGATGTCGAGCCATTCCTTTTTTATGTCCTTACAAAAAATGATGAAAAGGGCTGTCATCTGGTTGGATACTTCTCTAAGGTAAAACAAGAGCCAGCATGACCTTCATTTTCTTTTTCAAAATGTTTTTGGTAGAGCCCAATTCTTTGAACAGGGCTTTTTCATGACTGTAATTTGAACAAGTGACATGTGTTTTTGAAAAGCTCAGGTTCTTGTTCAGAGCTCATTTTAAAAGATGAAAACAAAAAACATGGTGCCTAGTAAGTGTGTAGAGGACTGCGACACTATGTGCCATCTTGATGACATTATAATTGCTGCCTTGTGGAACACTTAGCATCTTTGATTTTCTCAGTATTAAGCTTATTTCCGCTTTCCCTTTAAGTGGTGTCAACAGAAAGGTTTCAGTTTAATGTATGTAGCATTGAAGAGAAAATTCTCCTTTCTCCTTGTTGCCTTCCCTGTGTGGTCAACAGTGTCTCAGTGAGTTAGGACATTGGCATTTGGACAGTCAAGCTGATTAAATGACTGATTTTACACTTTGTCTCTTATTCTCTCTGCTATGGTTTTAAGTTCTAAAGCAATCTCACCTTTAGAAAGCTTAAGTATTTCTACCTGTCAGAGTGGGAAAAACATCGACATACTGAGGGGATATAGCTTGTCCTTTTCACTGGTTCAGAGCAGTTCACTCACATTCTTCTGCTCAATGGCTTCTGAGAAACAATTAACTCCTTTGCAATAAAGGAAAACTGAGTTTGGAGATGTTCACCAGGTAATGACGTTAACTTTTCTGAGGCTCCTGGGGAGTAGTTAAATGTACCAGGATGGTACCTAAATAGAGACAATAATTATGAAACTTTTAGGCAGAAGGTCCAAACTCTATATTTTATTTATTTTATGATATACTTTTTATATTAGGTGATATGTGAATTTTAATGCATCTGCTCTTTCACAGTGTAAATGGGATGCTTTATAAAAGTGCCATTTTCATGGAGGTTCAAAAGATAGAATATATATGAAGGTACTTGCAAACTATAGCTGTCCTGAATTTAAGAATCAACCCCAAAGATCATAAGCAAAAATAAGTAACAGCATTCATGGAAAACTGCCTCAGTGTTTTAATCCACATATTTGGCAAAGCTTTACAGTGAAAAAGAAGAAAGTTAATTTGCACATTCCAAATTCAAAAGATGATAGAGAATTAACACTGAATAAAACAATCAATAGGGAATCTATTTATATGATTAATAAATAAAACACCTTACCTTTTATGTAGGTTTGTCAAGATCATTTTTCTCCAGAGACTTAATAAGAATAATGATTGCATCCTTCCTGTTAGAAAATGGTGTTTCTTTTGGTGTCTGTGGGTTTAAACACAGGCTTAACGGTGCCCGCCTTGCTTGTGCTGCACTGACCATCCTGCTCCTGAGTCTTGTGTTGGCCGCCGAGTAGCAGCCATGTGTAGAGTTGGTGGTGATTCTTGAAGTTTGAATTTCTGCCTCTCTCCCTCCCAGGGTACCCAACATTTTACTCAGAACTAGCTCAACTTTTCTCATTTTGTCACAGCTTCTTGTACAGCACGGCAGCAGCTGCTGTCATTTCCTACTATTTTGGAATACTAATATTCCTTGGCAGTGTAGTGAAACAAAAATTAATCTAAAAAATAACCATGTTAAAAGACTAGATGAAACTAAACCGTATTCTTGTGTCAATTGGAATCTGGAGGACTCTGGCCCTTTGGGGCTATTCTTGAACCAAATTGTAGAGGTTATTAGAATGACAGTTCAAGGTTAGCCAGAGAAGGGCCGGAATGACCTAGAAAGGTTCAGTACAAATTGTTACATGCATATGACTTTCCAAGCACGTAGTAGATGGCTCTAACAGAAAGGAAAGATGGAGCAGTTATTTTATCCATAGCTTAGAATTTAGCTGTAGTAACATGTTAAGTTTGGGGGGGTGGGAGAAGAAGGATCACTACATATTGGATTTTTAAAAACTCCGAAAGGTGGAAATGCTTCTGGACAAAGAAAGGAATGGCATCAAGGAGGAATTCTCTTAACCCAGAGTACATTTCTTTTTAGAGAGAGTGACCCATTTGTCTAACTTTGCAAAACAGACGAATTACTTGAACCTTTGCCATTGACGTACACATTCAGTGATGGACAATTCATCTTCTTAGGAAAACTGACACACATTGCTTCCCCCTCATTTTTTCAGAGGCTCCATAGACAGCTACAAATGTGCAAAATTTGGGAGTACATCTTTTTCACAAAGAAATCTTCAATTCTGCCCTGTAGGGTTTTTTCCACAACCATCTCCTGTGATCTTTCAAATTGGTTCATTAAAGATCTGGGTGTTCTGAAGTAATTCTTTGGTGTGGTTGGTACCATTTGTGGTCAATCTTATTTGTGGTTTATATTTGGCCAGAGCATCCACGACCTCAAAAGCCTTTTCCAGATCTCTGTGTAGGTTTTGGCAACTTCTGTGTACTCTGAATAAAAAATTGCTGCTCTGATGCCACCTCCCATGAAAGCTGCAAATTCTTCTTTAACTGTAAGAGCTGTTTCTTACCATGTGCTACCCAGTCTTCGTCCTGATTTCAGACTGTCAGTAATATTTTGGTCTAACCTTTTGTTTGGAGGCTTTGGGGTTTCTTGTTGTTGTCTTTTTGTTTCATTTTGTTTTCCTGTTTTGAAATAGAAATTAATTATTTTTCTAGCTTTTTACATTGACTTTTTATTCATAGGAGAAATATATTTGTGCACATCTACCCACACAGATACTGTTTTAGTTTCACTGGGGCATTTGCCCAAAGGCAGAAGACAGATTGCTGTTGCAGAGTTGTAGATTATTATTATATTTAGCAAGATAGCTGGCTAAATCCTGACTTACTACACTGGGTGACTCCCTAGGATGTTATTTTCTCTGTCTCTGAAGTTGTTTGAGCAAAGAAAGCATTTCTTTTATTCTATCTGTATTCTGTTTTATTTGGTTTATATTTCCTTGGATTCTTTATTCATATTTTATGGCACTGACTTTCAAGAATAAAGATGTAGTTGAAAGGCATGCCCAGAGTCAATGGTTTATTGTTAGTTGCTAGTTTAATTGATTAATATAGTAGGATTTTTCTGCTTGATCTCGACCTAACCCACTGACTTTCTTTAGTGGACAGTTTTACAAGGATAGTAGCAGGTGCAGGGAATTGCCCACTTCAGCAGGGCTCTGACATACTCGATCTGTTTCTCCTTCCCTCAGGAAAAGCTTTGCCAGCAGAAGTATAATGTCTCCTGCATAATGATCATGCCCCAGCACCAAAGGCAAGGATTTGGACGGTTTCTCATTGATTTCAGTAAGTGAAGTACTTTATTTACTTTCTTGATCTCAGGAAGCTGATGGCTGTTACAGGAAACAGTAACACATAAAACTTTATTTAACCTGCATTGTTGTTTTTATCAATAGATAATGGGTTTTCTATTTATATTTACATAGGTTAGAACATCTTCCTCAATTGAAAAATGTACTGCTGCTCAGTGATTGTACTCTAGGAAATTGAGACTAGATCTCTCGGCAGCGGCCCTCACATGCAAAGCCATTACCCTGAATGAACCGGCAGAATTACATTCCATTTTGTGGTGCTCATGCTCATTAGCACCAAAAGAGGCAATTATTCGTGATTAAAGCTAAAGGAAGTATTATTTGAAAGGATTTTCAGCTCTCTAAAATTTTGCCTATAATCTTGTACAGTACAAAGCAGGAAAGGTATATTTCCATTTAGAAAAATAATTCTCTAGGCAGCATATCTTGGGCCTTGCTGGTAGAAATAACTCTTACTTTGTTTTGTTAATTTCCCTTTTCTATTATGGAAATTATGTCTGAGGTTTATCACATATACACTCATATCTTCTGAGCCTCCTCAATTAAAACCGGAATAATATATAAAAGTATGCACACGGATAATGTTTTTAAAAATTGGTAGTTTTTTTCCTTCTTGTTTATATTTTACTGGATATGTAAATGTAGTGTTAGGGGTACATTTGGAGAATTGATTCAAAATATCTAGATAACACGATGACCAGATATCCCATAATAGTCATTTCTGGTCATATGTCACTAGGAACCAGGTCCTTCTTGATTACCAGATTGCAGTTTGTCTGATTATTAACTGAAAGGAGGGAAATTTAGGACTTTGCACAATCTTCATTAGGTACATCAGATGCCAAAACCACAATGTAAATGTGCTCACAGAAAACCATGAAGAAATATAGTGAATCTAAAGCCATATTATTAGGTATTAAAAGATTAAGGTCTGATTAAAGTATAAAATAACTGAATAGCAGTTTTGGACTGATTTATATAATTTATTGACATTGAAGAATGTGATTCTTTTAAAAGAAGAATTTTGATTATTTTTCTATTTTTAGATAATATTTTTAGTTATTAATTCATTACCCTAATCTTATCTATACTTTCCTGACCTAGATATCCATGAAACCAGTAATCCCAAGGAGGGCCATCTACCAAATGCAGTGTACCATTTTTATTTTTATGGAGTCCTAGCTGTAATCATTTCTAAGGGCAAAACCATTTATCTTGTTCTCTGGTTTTGTGTGGCTAACATTCATAAGTAGTTCATAAATGTAGTTTCTGGTATGCATAGCAGCCATCCAGCCTTACATTTGTGGTCATATCTGTATACCTACAGAATAAGGCAGTTCCTTAGCTCAGTATTCAAGGTCTTCCAACGTCTAGTTCCAGCCTATCGTTTAAGCTTTTTTATCTGCTAATCTCCTTTTTCTCAAATATTCTGAGCATGATCCTATACCTCCGTTTTTGGTCTGTACATTCCATTCCTTGAAATGATCACCTCCTCCTTTCCTAGACTTTATTAAAAATCCTGCCCATTGTTAAGAGCCAGCTGAAGAATCTCTGCTTTTTGATCCTACCTCCTGGAATTTTATGTCATACCTTTATTGGTTCCATATTCTATATGGCATCACACTTACACTCTGTTCACCCTTTTGTGATAATTATTGACAGAGGTGTCAGACTTCCAACTTCTCTGTATCCAGTAGAACAGTTTCCTATATAATAACATGTGTTCGATTATATAAATTCAATTTTATTGATAAAAATTAAATTTCAAATTGATGTGGTTGCTGTCCACAATAATTGTCTACCTAAAATTAAAAAGGAATTGGTACTTACTAGGTAAAAGTTTAAGCTCTAAATTCAGTAGCATCTTATTTGTGCAGCATAATCTGCCACTAAGACCTTCTACGTAAGAGAACAAACAATCCGGGTAACAGATATCATCTTCAAATGCTGTGTCTTTATTTTAACCATTTTAGCGGAAACTGTTATTAGAATCTATTAGAATCTATCTTGTATTTTTAAACTACAGAACACATTAAAATCTTTAATGAGTGGCTCAGGGCCACACTGATGAATGCTGTCCACCAGGATGTGACCAGGCAGTGAGGTGCTGAGGGTGTGGTTTTCAATTTTCTCCTTCCTGTACACTTAGCATTGTCCCTATTGGAGTGAGTTAAAGAGTGTGGTGAAAGGTTTGAATAAAGTTGGAAAGGGCTCTGTGAGCCCGCAGAGTAGCCATCATGAGCAAAGCTCACCCTCCTGAGTTGAAAATATTTATGGACAAGAAGTTATCACTGAAATTAAATGGTGGTAGACATGTCCAAGGAATATTGCGGGGATTTGATCCCATTATGAATCTTGTGATAGATGAATGTGTGGAGATGGCAACTAGCGGACAACAGAACAATATTGGAATGGTGGTAATACGAGGAAATAGTATCATCATGTTAGAAGCCTTGGAACGAGTATAAATAATGGCTGTTCAGCGGAGAAACCATGTCCTCTCTCCATAGGGCCTGTTTTACTATGATGTAAAAATTAGGTCGTGTACATTTTCATATTAGACTTTTTTTTAAACTTTTGTAATAGTTAAAAAAAAAAAGGTTGGAAAGGGATTGGTGTTATTCCCTCAGAGAAAGGGAGACTAGGGGAAGAATTTTATAGCACTCAAAGAAAATGGGAACTGGTGTAAACCCAACAGAAATTCAATTTAAAACCAAAAGAATTTCTTGGCTCTAAAAGTTTTAAGGAAGATAGAGTAGGTTGCTGAAGAAATTAATAGCACCTTCTCTTGGAAGTTACTTAAAGTAATGGTAGATAAATATCTTTCCAGAATGATTGAAATCCAGCCTTTTGCAGAAGGTAGGGATGAGTCACATGACCTCTCATGATCATTTTTAATCTCATAATTTGGAGCCCAAGAAAGAAAGCTAACTAGGGTTGCAGGTTTTCTAAAATCCGCTATGGTTTTTCAAAAGACTTTTAATGGTTAAATTTATCTTATTTCTATTTTGTACATGAGCCTGGGGTCTTTTGGTCAGGGATGTATTTTCAGTAAGTTAAATGAGGTTGTAAATCAGGTAGATCTTTATAATTGCAGTTTAGTAAGCTGAAACAAGGTACAAGCAGGGAGAAAGATACAGCCGCCCACTTGCACACTTGATCACAAACATGGGTGGAATAACGCGTTGTGTATATATACATGCTCCTAGACTTACAATGGGTCGGTGGGCTGATAAACTCATTGTAAAGTGAAAATATCATAAATTGAAAATACATTTAATACACCCAGTCTACCAACCATCATAGCTTAGCCTGGTCTACTTTAAATGTGCTTAGAACACTTAACATTACCCTATAGTTGGGCAAAATAATCTTAACACAAAGCCAATTTTATAATAAAGTGTTGAATATCTCATGTAAGACTGCTGTATCACATATCACTAACCCAGGAATGGATAAAGTATGGTTTTTACTGAATGGTATTGCTTTCACACCATAATAAAGTCAAACCATTGTAAGCCAGGGACCGTCTGTGTAAAGAACTGCAAATGTAGAGCTTTGAACACTGTTCTTCAGGGCAGCCGAGTGAGGTGGATTGGTCATCCATGGGACCATGTGCTGCTTGCGAAATAAGTCAATTCTTTCCCTTACTAGACAAGCTTCTCTGGGATTTATCAGAGCATGGCTCTCCAGGAGGCCATTTGCAGAGTTTGGCCAGAGTGACTAAAGGGCATCAACTCCCAATTTGCTCATAAACTCCCTAAGGGGTTTTGTGACTCTTTGTCCACAACTGGAATGGGTGGAGGAGAGAGTGACTATCTTGGATTGGTTGAAAATACTTTCTTTCCTCTTGGATTCCAGGATTCCCTCTCCTTCTCAATCAGAAAATTTTAAAGTTTTCCCCATCTCTGTAAAGTGTCTCTCTCTCTCTCTCTCTCTCTCTCTCTCTCTCTCTCTCTCTCTCTCTCTCTCTCCCCCTCTCCATCCCCACCAGATACCTCAGAACTTCGAGAACTCCCTTGCCAGCAAAACGTCTGCAGTTCCTTCTTCAGAGCCTCACACCAGCAAGGCAAGGAGCTGCTCTTCCAGCTGCTGCTGGGCACTGGGGCCCCAGAGTGCTCCCTCCCCAGCCCTGGACTGCTTCTGCTGCTGGGGCTGCCCAGGAATACTTTCTCCATTTCACTATTTTTTTCTTTAATTTTGAAATTATTTCAGACTTAGAGAAAAGCTCTAAGAATAATACCAAAAATTCCCATGCATTGTTGCACATGTTCACATTTTATCACATCTGTTTTCTGCTCTGTTATTCTGAATCTCTCTCTCCCTTTGTTTCTCTCTTTCTCTCTCATATTTTTTTTCAGAATCGTTTGAGAGTAAGTTGAAGACATGTTGCACCTTAAATATTGCAGTGTTTTTTTACAAAGATGCTCTCATATATAGCCACAATACAAATTATTAAAATCAAGATATTAATCTATGCATGTTGTTCAAATTTTAAATTTTGCCAGTTTATACTGATATTATTTCTAGAGGAAAAAAAAAATCTCCTCCTCCAGGATCACATGCAGTATGTAGTTACTATGTCCCTGGAGCCTCCTTTAATCTGGAATAGTATCTGGTTTTTTGTTTTGTTTTGCTTTGCTTTGTGTTTCCATGATTTTTGTATTTTTGAAGTATACAGGCCATTTATTTTGTACAGTATGACTCAATTTGGGCTTATCTGATGTTTCCTCATGATTAGATTCAGGCTGTACATTTTTTGGCAGGAGTACCATAGAAATGACCGTCCCCCCAGTGCATCAGGATCATATGATAATATATTTTTCTCATCACTGGGTTAAGGTGGTACCTGCCAGTTTTCTTCACTGTGAAATTACCATTTTTCCATTTGTAATCAGTAAGTATCTGGTGAGAAGATACTTTGGGATTATATAAATATCAATTCTCCTATAATTTTCACATTCTAGTTTTACCATTCATTTATGGCTCTTATCTAAAATAATTATTACTATGATAATTACCAAACGGTAATTTTCTAATTCCATTCTTTCTATAATTTATTAATTGGCATTCCATAAAGAAGAGTTGTTTCTTCTTCCCCATTTATTTAATTTTTTAATATAATTATGGGTTTTAATTTTACTCTTTAGGTTATAACTTGTTGTTACCATGATTGATTTTGATGTTGCCCAAACATCAAATTATCCTGGATTTATTTAGCAGCAACTATTTCAAGTGGGTTCTTGTGTCTTTTCCACATGCTTCTGTCTTGTGGATTCTTTCTTCCTTTCTGCCACAGGACTATGGTCCAGGTTTAGCTTATCCTTTTCTTAAGCCAGTCATGGAATCATCCGTTTCTCCTAAGAGCCTTCATTCCTTAGACTGGAGAACAGTATTTAGGAACCAAGATCTGGGCCAGGTGTGGTGGCTCATGCCTATAATCCCAGCACTTTGGGAGGCCGAGGCAGGTAGATCTTGGGAGACTGAGGCAGGCAGATCTCTTGAGGCCAGGAGTTCAAAACTAGCCTGGCCAACATGGTGAAACCCCAGTTCTACTAAAAATACGAAAATTACTGTATTTTCTTATTTTTACAAAATATAAAAATATGGGCGTGGTGGTGTGTGCCTGTAGTCCCAGCTAGGTGGGAGGCTGAGGCAGGAGAATTACTTGGGAGGCAGAGGTTGCAGTGAGCTGAGATTGTACCACTGCATTCCAGCAACAGAGCAAGACTGTCTTTGGGGGAAAAAAAAAAAAAAAAAAAAAAGCTTGACTGTCAAGTGCTGGGGGCATAGGAACCTGGTTGTCTTTATTTTTAAGCTGTAGAGCCTGGAACATGTGTGTGTCCATTAGCAGGAAGCAGAAAGAGCAGTGCTGACGGAAAAAATTGAGGGGAAAACAAAAAGCAATATCCAGGCGGGTGGTTTATTACAAAGTCAGAACTGGCATTTGATGAAATTCAATATTCTCTCCTAACTAAAATACTCAAACCTACTAACTAGAACTATAAAGATTCTAAATTTCAGATTAACTTTTTCTTTTTTGTTGGGGGCGGAGGTACATGTAATGAAAGCTATAAAGGGTAAAGGACAGCCGGGTCCAAAAGTCTGCAAACTTAAGTCTGTAGTTTTTTGAGACCAGATAAACTTGCCATTGAATATCCATTAATGCCAAGCTCATCAGTTAAGTATCAATGGTACATTCAGGCATTTCTAAAATTAGTATGTTTGTTTGTAGTATAATCATAAAAATGTGTCCGCAGGTTCAGTTTTTGGCTTTCTTTATTCAGTGTTGAGGTATCGGGTAGTCCTTATGGAACAAGGCTGTAACCATAGGAAGCAGAGTGATTGAATGAATTGGCCATTCACTTCAGGAAATCCCCTTTGCTGCCTCTTACATGCTGAGGGTTCACCTTGGCTTTTGTGAGGTCTGTGCACTATTTAAAAATGGAGTCTATAATTAATCAGCGCTGCTAGAAGGTGGTGCAAATGGCCCAGTTTTGTGCCACCAGGTTATGAACTTGGCTCCTGTCTTAAGTGTGGTTTGCAGCATGCTTCCACGTGTTCCCTTTTTTAGAAATGATACTCCCCTCCCCCTGCCACCTCACACATATACAACCAACCACGTTTTAGGAAAGCAGGAAATAAATAAACTTTTAAAGATCCTTTGGGGTATGATTTAGTACCTTCGTTCCTTTCTCGTTTGAGTATTCATCGTTGTGGTTTTCTGCACCGTCATTCTTTCCTCCTCTGGTTTAATGGTAGAGATTTCTTCTTTAGGTACCACAACCACACACATCCATAGAGATCCCCAGGCTTGTCTCTCCTTTAGCCTCTTAATCGTTCTTGGCTGATTTCTTGAGGAAGCACCACATTGGAAGAGAAAAGCATCTTCTCTCTGGTTTCTTGCTCCCTGCTTCTCTGCCCGTCTAAGTCCATAGGAAGAAGGCCACATACTTCATCTCTACCTAGAGGGGTATGATGTCAGGAGGCTAATCATATCCACTCTGTCAGAGAGAAAGCTGCTTCTTCCCAGAATCTTAGATGCAAGTTACTGGCTTAAATGTTTTATTATAGGATGGCTAAATACAGGAGTACATGTCATAGTAGTTTGGGTTGCCAGCTACTAACTTCTAGTTTTCACAGACTGCCTTCATGGATTATTTTGTTTAAAAGAGCTTCCACTTACAAACTTTTCAAAGAACAACTTAAGTGAAACTTAAGAATGTTTTTAAGCAGAGACTGAGTGGTTTCTCATTCTACCTGAAAATTGCTTTCTTGAAATAAATGTTTAATACCCACTGGCCTATCTTCTCTGGAAAGCAGGAGTTTCCATTTAGAAGTCCAGTTGGTTGGATTCCGGTAACCCCTTTCACCTGACTGTGTTAAGCCTCATGGAACCAGGGCTGTGCGGGAGGCACTGGCTTCTCCCAGAGGGCAGGCTGAGCATAGTATCAGGGCACACGCCTTCCCCTCGGGAGCTGCATCTGGGCCCTCAAGGCCCTGGTGAGAAACTGTACTCTCTAGCAGGGGTCTCTGGGTGTCTCTGCACCATGTGGTCAGCTTAGGGCTGCGCTTCCCAAGATAAGACCTGAGAATGGGTACGGGTAACAGAGATATTGCTCCCTTTGCTCCTGGGTGTCCAGAACTCCAGTGCCTGTCGTCTCACCTCTAGCCGCCTCACCCATTTACCCTGGGGAGCTGTGTAAATTCTGTCATATCCATGAGTGAGGAGATCATGAAGTACTCACTTGAGTCTGTCTTGGAGAGGCTGCAGAGTAAATATTCTACTTTCCCTCATTTATGGGCCCTACAAACCAAGCCTCAAAGGTGCGCTTCGAGGGACCATGACAGCATTTCTTAGGGACTTGTGTTACTTGGTAGTTCTCTCTCTCTCTCTCTCTCTCTAGTGGGACTAACAAAACAAACAAACAAAAAACTAGGCTAAGCAAGTGCAGTCATTGATAAAATCGCATAGGTCTTTTATATACAGTCATTTATCATTTAAAAACTGAGATTTATTTTGAGAAATGTCACCATTAGGCAATTTCACTGATGTAGTGTACTTAGACAAACCTAGACAGCATAGCTTACTACACACCTAGGCTATGTGGCATAGCTGATTGCGCCTAGGCAACCAACCTGGACAGCAGGTTACTATACTGAATACCGTAGGTATTAATAGTTGTAACATAAGGGCATTTTTGTATCTAAACATAGAAAAGGTACAGTAAAAATATACTGTTATAATCTTATGGGACTATCATTGAATATGTGGTCCATCATTGACCTAAACGTCATTATGTGGTGCATGACTGTATTTATTATTGATTGCCCAAAAGTAAGCTTCACGGGAGTGTGGACTTTGCCCTCTGCTGCATTCTGACCTTCTAGAAGAGCCTGGCACTTAGTAGGTTCTTATTATTTGTTGAACAAATGTTACATTAATTATTACGGGAAGGGCTTTTAAAATGTGCTTTCCTTTCTTGTGTGTGATTCTTAGGGAGAATTTTATTTTACTAGAACATGAACAGGCAGCACTGGTTTACTTACTTCCAAATGATGCCTGGTATGTCCTGTCTTCTTTGGAGGTCTGGTACTTTTGCTGACATTCAGCCTCTATCTTAAGATCATTTAAGTTGCATCAGAAAGAAGATGTCACTGTCTGCGTGAAACCTTGGGCAGAGAAAGCAGAGCTGTGACATAATCCACATTTATACATAGTTGGTTGAAGAGATACTTATCTTTTCCTTACTTGTTCTCTTATCAGATAATTCATTTCTTGATTGCATTTATTTTGGAAGGAAAATTCCAGCTTTAGCCATAAGAAGCTGTCAAGAAAGCTTCTCTTTACCTAGCCTTCCCAGCAGCTACACTCCTGGGTGAGTGCAGTCAAGGCAATCATTAAAGAATCATAAGTTATGCTTTTGAAATGGTACTCAAGTACTTCATAGTCTTTTCTAAGATAAGGAGCCTCCCACCTTCATCCCCATGACACTTGTAGGAAAATCCTGGACCAGCAGCTGTATCCTTGGGCTTTTGCTGGGTTTTGGAAGACATATTTTGACCTGTGTAATCAAGTATAATGATGACATTTATTTGAATAGGATTCTAGTCTGTAATATAATAAGGAAAATGGCTATTTTTCCTTATTTTCTCATTATAATATGTTACACTAAAAGCTTTTGCCATTACTGTTTTATTACATTGGTCTGAAGTACAATATATTTTAATATGCTAAAGATAACATCAAGGTTGAAAATTGAGCTCTCAGTGATTTATTCAGAGGTTGACTGTTACTGAATGCATTGAAATGAGTTGCATGAGACAGTGCAGCTAATGATTTATTTGTGTATCCTTTTTTAAGCTAAGCTTGTCATAAATAAGAGCAAATAAATAGCTCTTATAGAATAGTTTGTATTCATTGCCTCAATGAAAACATTGTAAATATGAAACATACGGTCTGCAGTCTCTCTCATTTTTTTCTGAAAGCTACTGTTTTGCCTTACATAGCTCAGAATTTTTTCAAGTTTTGGCATGCAGGTGGGTTTTTTTTTTTTTTTTTTTTTTTTTTTTTTTCCAAACAAATTTTTTTTTTGTTTGGATTTCTAACATTGACTGGCATTTGCAGTGAAACCCACTACTGTACAAATTCCATTCAAATAATTGGTATGAGAATAACCTAATCTGGACTAGTGTGATATCTTCCAGGAAGAAAAAAAAAAAGAGAGAATAACCTAATTTTCAGCAGTAACTGGAACAAAATGAAACCTTATCCGGACCATCAAGAGGGCAGAGACTTGGTCATGGCCGAACTCCAAGCACGAGCACAGTGCCTAGCACATAGAGGATGCACAATAGAATTGTTGGGGGAGATAAGTGAATGCCTGAGTCTAGTTAATCTACTTCTTTGTATCAGTGTCAACACCTGCCAGATGCATTCAGCTACCTTTTGACCAGTAGTGCTTAAACTCAGATCTCCTCTCAGTCTTTTATTTATCCCTTCATCCCTTCCTTCAACAAACATGCTTTACATACACTGTGCCAGGGATGGTCTAGGTGATGAGGACATAAGGATGAATGGCTTAGTCCTTGCTCATAGGGTAGTAGAGGGTCAGACACAAAATTCATCACAGCCCTGCAATTTCAAACATGAGAGAGGCTGTGGCAGTGCAGAGGAAGAAATAGTTCTAACTCTGTTTTCCATTTACTGAGTTAAGACATGTGGAAGAGAAGCATTTTCCTCCCCTCCGCTCCCCTCCTTTCCCCTCCCCTCTTCTCCCCTCTCCTCTCCTTTCCTTTTTCCTTTCCCTTCCCCTTCCCCCTCTGTCACCCAGACTGGAGTACAGTGGCATGATCATAGCTCACTGTGGCCTTGAACTCCTGAGCTCAAGTGATCGTCCTGTTTTAGCCTCCCAAGTAGCTGGGATTACAGGCACATGCCACCATGCCTGACTATTTTTCAGGGGGCAGGGGTGGGGAGTTGGGTAG